AATATATATATATATATATATATATATATATATATATATATATATTAAGGACCTAAAGGAAAGTTACAACTCAATAAGTTACGCCCTTCGAACTTGATACGAATTTCAAATTCTTATCAACATATTATTCGCAAAATCGCAAATTTCGAAAATCTGGACGATGCTCGAATACGTAAGCGCAAATTTATTCATAATAATCTTCGATTCCCGTGCCATGGCGAGGCAGATTTAGCGTGCGGGTTCGTTCGCATATTCGGCGCAGCCGATGGCGAATGTGAGTCACGACCCCGATTTGCGTTCTTTGCAGACACGCCCGGAAGTACGATTCGCAAAAATACAACCGTATTTCCCCGAGACACGCGGCGCCGTTACCCTCTCGAAAGCGGAAAGGTGTAAGATTTCTCCTTTTTGCTGCTTGCGGCGCTTGACGAATAATTCGATTCTATACAGGTTGCATCAGCATAATTATGAGCCACTTCATAGTCGAGTAACATTCTCGACGGCAATTAGCCGTTGTTGACAAACGCAATTTGTGAGATGTAACTTTATGGGAATAGGCAGACAGAGAAGCGAGAGCGCCTCTCGCAAAGTCATTGATGTTCTCGAACACACCGACGAACCGTGCTGTTGCTTCCGGAGTGGTCGTCTTCCGTTCCCCGTCTCCCCATGGCGTAGCTTGTTCGCCAACACGAGGCTGCATGCCGACAAAGTGTTTTCGGAGGGAGAATGGATACGACGTTATGATCCTTTGTCTCGATACCAAATCGCATCCTCACGTTGTCTTGATGATTATGAAAGTTTTGGAAATAATCATACGGAAATCATCATATCTAACATAGCGCGGTATTAAAGACAGAGAGAGAGAGAAGGAGAAAGACGTAACAATTGTAATCGCGATGTATCTTTTAAGTGGATTAAACAGTTTAATATCAAATTTATGAGATATATGTAAGAATGTGTGTAAATTAAATAAACTTGGTAAATTTTTGTTTAAAAATCAATTGTTATGGATTATATCGACAATATTTTATATATTTTTGAGAATATTTTGTCTCCATAACGTGACGTTATGGAGATAAAATATGTTGAAGCGAATTTTTCTCCCCTCCGCGCGAATAAGCTGTAAATTGAGATATAGTTATTAGCAATGTGAAAGTTTCCCGATTCCTTCTTGCCCGTTACTTGGCAATAACCCCTCTGGCGGCATGCCACTAACTACCTCGATAGAGATTTCACGTCTTTTATAGGCTAAGTCCGGTTGGCTTGCGCATGATTTACGTGCGCTTCCTTAATCCAGGGTATATTTACGCGCGCTTATTAAATACCACGCGCGTTTCGAAAGTTTTAAAGCGGCCATCGCTTGTCTTGAAAATTATGTCAGCGTTACGCTCAGATCCTACGTCCGCTTTGTACGCTTCGCTCGGTGCTCGGCGAATTCCGAGAGGTACTCTCGTACACTGCACTCGGATCCACATCCGAAAACGGAGTGGACTCCTCGGTGTGCCGTACACACGGCTGGGGGTTGAAATAGCGCTGGCAGACAATATTCGGCCGGCAGGGGTTGCGCGTACGTGAGGACAGAGTACGCGAGACAGGAACGTGGGAGGCGTTTGCCGTGGCGACAGCGAGGAGGGAGGTGCGGAGGTGTGGAAGGGCGACGGGGAACCACCGTCGTCATACAGAAGTTCGGGGCTGCAATGGCAGTGCGTCTTCTGGCGCCCCGGAGTCTCCCGACACGCCTTCCAACGTGAGTGCCGCAAGAACTCTCCTATCTGGTGCACGGCGTTCTTCCACACGCCGCGATATTGCAATCCACACCTCCGTAGGAACATTGTTCACTTCGCGTGAGATTTCTCTCGCCCAGTCCGGGAGAAGGCGGAAGCAACGATTACGAGCTGGTGTTTATCTCGCGTTCATCTCGTCTAACTGCCGTTTATTCCGAATAGGATGACAGAGATCGCTATTCTGTAAATTTTGCGTAAAATATAATATTTATCATTTAACATATTTATTATGCGGCCAACACAAGTTAAATATGTATTATTAAAATAAATTAAATTTTTAATAGTTTGCCATCGATAATATTGCAACCGCTATACCATTGAGATGTAATATGTAGTTTGCATTTCACGCATGTATTAACCCCCCCTCAATATTTATG